ACTACTACCACTACACTACTAGTACTAGCACTCGTACTAGTACTAGTACTAGTACTAGTACTAGTAGTAGTAGTAGTAGTAGTAGTAGTAGTAGTCGTAGTCGTAGTAGTCATAGTAGTAGTAGTAGTAGTCGTCGTCGTCGTCGTCGTCGTCGTCGTAGTCGTCGTCGTAGCAGTCGTCGTAGTAGTAGTAGTAGTAGTAGTAGTAGTAGTAGTAGTGGTAGTAGTAGTAATAGTAGTAGTAGTAGTAGCAGTTAAATAGCAGTAGTAGGGGTAGCAGCAGCAGCGGTGGTGGAGGGCTGGGTAGTTACGTAGTTCTCACAGTTACTGCGGCGACGGGCCAGGCGGGGTGCCTTCAATTTGGCGAGGCTTTCAGCAAGTGCAGCGACTGCCGTCGGATCATTGGCAAGACCTTAGTACGGTTGCTACAATCATGACTGCATGTACAATGTCAATTACGCGAAGAGGCTGTGTATGTTCGAGTTGAAGAAGGCAGGCTACGGATAGCTCTTTCTCACATGCAGCTACCTCTGCAAACTTCTTATTTCAAGCCTACTGCATTCGAAACCTGTAACAGTGGAACAGAAAACAGCAATTGCGGCCCAAGCTCCTGAATGTCGTCTGTAAACGACCCTGGGGCCTTTCCAAAGATAGTTCGAACCTCTCCCTTCCGTGTAAAGCCCAAAATCCTGTGCTTCGTCTATCAAAGTGCTCAACCTCAATATTATTGCATCTTGGACTCTTGGATTGTGTTGTTTCCAATGCTCTCGTGAATCCCGCTGCCCCGCTGCTCTCTGAGGGCGCCGGCCCAAAGCCATTGCGAGGTCTTCAGCGCCGTTGCGGAGCGATTCCAACTGTCGTTCGACCTTGGACGGTGCAGTCTCTAGAAGCTTTACACGAGACTTGCGTAGAGATGGTGCTTTATGATACGATCATGGTTGCTTTGTGCTTTTCATGGTGCTAGATTCTAGATTTTGCTCGGTGCTCCGGAGATGGGTGGTTGGGTGGTTGGGTGTTTTCGAGGTCAGGTTTTGCTGATCTCAGGCTTAATCAGAAACCAGAAACCCCTTCCCTCTATCAGTATCCGGTCTGCAGAGCCTGCACCCTTCACACTGAGCTACAACTTCATGCCGCCTGACACCCCGATTTGCAAAATCACGGTCGAGCCTTGTTCAGCTGATATTCTGAACATGCATCCGAAGGCCTCAGGATTGAGGATGGTCAGCTCCAGGGACACGTTCCAGATCTTGCTCCCAGGCATCACAGACGATTCCTGTGCCCGAGAAACCATGAAACTAAACTCATGCATGCAAGAATTGTAAGACAAACAACTCTTCAGGAAATGGTAAACATGATATCTGGAATCCCGAGCCCAACCAACTGCCCGCTAGGGACTGATCGATGAACATGATTTAAGGGGCATGGAATCTTTTCTGTGCCGGCTGCTTGCTTTGGTGCACATGCCCTTGTCACCCTTTTTCCTGGACTGACGCCACCTCCAGCCGTCTCCCATCACCGAACAGCGCCACAGACACGCTGATAGCTGCTTCTGGAATCGAGAAACCTGAGGTCATTCCATCAGCTCTTGCCACACCTCTAGTATCGTACGTGGCGGTCCGGGTGTGGTGCTGCAGGGATGTCTGTCTCACAGTGCAACGATGCAGCCGCACTGACTGACGGACGCCTAAAATTGCGAACCGCGGTCCCTTGCCAAGGCACTGCTGGCCAGCGCAGCCTTGACCGCAGCCTGCGGACGAAAACAGGGACACGGCGCAAGCTCTTGGTATCGACGAGGATTGCTTTGGAGAACCTCCACGACATTGGCTGTAGCGGCATCCATGGCGAAGCTGGTCCTTGGATTCGATAAGATTTCCAAAACCGAGCAGTATCATGCCGTAGTTCAAGAGAAATGTTAAGAAGTAGGCGGGTCCAACCGTCAATGAAGCGAGTTCGAACACAAAGTCAGACTTTACGTGGAAGATATCCGTCCTCAAACAGACACTTTTCCATACTCATTCTGCTACTCGATTGCTACTGCATTATGAGCCATAAGCGTCAACTCCTACAGCCGAAGTCCTGCAAGACCCTTGGCCACCGAGTCCTGCAGCCAAAAACAGACACTAGCCTAAAGCATTGAGTCTCCGTCGCACCATGTCACAAGTCCCTACTGCTACTGTCACTGACTCGAAACCCCATTATTGACCTGACGAGCGTGGGACCGAGGACCCATTTGAAACCCACAACGACGCAAAGCACCCCAAAACCGCAACCGGGCCGAGCCGTTTGAAGTCCGCTAGGGAAATGCTAAGGTCTTGACACACCGGAGATCAACGCCACCTTCGGGGCCACGACCTGAAACTGGAAACAGTCCCTGCAAGACCCTACCTTGCCGTACAATGTCTGGCTGTGGGTGCACGTGTCGAGTGCTTTGGTTGGAGGCGAACATATTTACGCTTGCCGTGGTTGTCACGCTTTGTTTTAAGCGACGTGCAGATCGGCCGGACATGGCCGGACCGTGCTGTCATGTTTCCTCAAGTCCCAAACTCGACCAAACATCCTACATGACTGTGTCACCCCAAGCTTAGCCACTTCTCCTTTCTTGCCTGCAGGAAAACCCTGCAGTCCTCAAATACCAGGTGGAGGCCTCCCATTTGCACTCGGAGGTGTTCGCCAGCACCACCTGTTGGCCAAAAGGCCACCGACTCATCGCAAACATGATGTTTCTCTGTTGGGCGCGAGAGCACGAAACATCCCCTTGATTAGGGAAAGAAGGTGAGAACCTCTCTTTGCTCCGCAGCGCTGCTGAGAGTTCAGGTTGAACTGATCGCACCTTGGCAAAGTAGATGTTGTAGGAAGTCACGAGGCTGTCATCCTGCAGATTGGAGTTGAGACAGAATCCTCACGAAAGATTTACTTGTCCGAAACAGCCACAGAAGAGTTGTCCTCCGGCGGATCCCACGACAACTCACCGCCCAAGTCGCCTGTACGTATTTCGGACTGCTTGAATCATGTTCGGCCGGCAGAACGCTTCACTGACAAGCACGGCATCACCGTGCCTGCATCAAGATCGAACTCAGGAAACGAGATGTTCGACACTGAGGCAAAGTTGTCCTTGAATGAAGCCACTTCTTAAGACTCTCCCGGCTGCAGCATCGTGCCGCCAGGGTGGTTGTGGGCATGCAAAACGGGGACCAAAACAGACTTGAAACAGGCCATGCTATAGGCCATACTGCAGTTTTGGCCGCATCCGGAGCCAGGAACACAAGAGGTGGATGTAAGGACGTTCCCCGGCACACGCCAATTATACTATATACATGTAACGTCACCCTGTTGATCTGCGGCAAGTGGTTCGGAGACCGGGGCACTGCGCGGCAAGGCCTTTCCGTGCGCTACCAGTAGGGTCTGCAGGGTCTCGAGGCTGTGCAGGGGCGGAGAGCGGAGCCGCCTGTAAAGAGCCCAGTACGAGGACGGCACAAAACGCCGCTCTGTGATGCGGTCTTCTTGCGGTTTTTGCTTCCATGTGCTTTGTGCTCGCGTTCCAGACCTGTCTAGCCACACTACTCCTGTCCAGACGAGCTGCAGTGATGCCGTGCCAGACGGGGGTTGTCCTGGCAGTGCCCAGACCGATGATGCTTCAGGGAGATTTCTTTATCTATGAGGTAGCACGCCTTAACAACAAAATCTATAATCCGTCACATGTTCAGGGCAGGCTGCTGCTCCATCAGCATTGATTGAGTGTAGATCAGGAGGTACCTGAGCGCAGTCGGCAAATTGAGTTCGGGCCCCGAGCGGCGGCCTGCACCGTCTTGCAAGCCCCGGGCGGCATTGTGGGAATAGGTGTCTCCACAGCCACCTGTAATTGCTTCAGTGAGGGCTTCGGGAAGGCAAGGCGCAGAAAGGCTCTTGCGATACAGAATTTTTCAGTTGCTGCCCGCCACACTGCTTAAAGTAGGATCTGCCTTGGAGGCAACTTCGCCCGCAGGCTCAGAAGCAACCTCGAAGCGCGCAGAGCCTCACGGACATTCGGACACATGACGACATCCTGGCTGACCTGTTTATCAGCTTGCGGCCCTCAGACAAGGCATCCGCGGGAGCCGGGTTTGGGATTTGTAGTGATGGAGGTTCAGACGACACAGAGGTCACAGCACTATGGACAGATGTGTGCAGCAAGTGCGGCATTCTATCAGGTAGAGACTTCGACTTCCGCGCTTCTCTCATGGCCTTGCTGGCTTCTGTTGTGACCTTCTAGCGAGTCCTCTTGAAGAGCTCGAGCAAACTTCAGATCGCACCTGTTGGCGAATTCGCCACGTAGATGCGATACAGTTCCACCCGATCCTGCAACAAAGCATGGGACATTGGAAGGGCCACTCCCATGCCCGTGGCAGCATCCTGCGACTGGCGGTCAAACAACTGAACCCACTGTTACATGGGTCTGAACTCATGTAGAGCCTACAGGCCTACAGCATAGGCAGGATCGCCCCGATTTGCTAACCTCCGCCCATCCTCGACCATGGGTGCGATCCATGAGACATTGCCGCCGATCTCCTGAATGTCTAAATCCTCGGTCACTTGCACATGACGTCGTGCTTCCAGACAATTGTGGGTTCCCCTGGGGATCCGCGCCCTGTCTTCGAAGACTATGTCTGACACGCTGGCCACGGCATCGAAAATCTCCAATGCAACGGGCGTGGTCTGCCTGCAACTGACCGAAACCGTTCGCTGGACGGTCTTCTCATCAAACTATACACTGCATGCTCTCTTCTGCATCTGCTGGCCGCATGAATCTAGCTTGTCCAAGCTGCTCTGCTAGCGGAGAAGCTGCGTAGACCAGGAAGTGGGTGTAGTTCACCAGCGGTGTCTCCGCCAGGATGCTCACGTTGTACACCTCGCATTGCAGAGTGCGAATTCAATCTCTCGTTCACGAGCTCGCGCAGCGTGGAGACCTCTGCAGAACACGGGACGAGCCACTCCGCGGGGAGCGATGCCCACCAAGGACCGCTCCTTACCGGTGCTGTTCTCCGCCATGTACACATAGTACTCACGCCTCAGAGCCACCCCTTCACACGCAAGAGCAAAGAGCATCAAGGAAGGGAGGTAGTAGAGGGAGGGAGGGAGGGAGGGAG